TTGGAAGCGATCAAGATGTCCTTCAGAAGGTAAATGGATAAATCAAATGTGGTACACCAAGACAGTGGAATATTATCCAGTGCTGTGAGCTATCAGGCCATGAAGAAACCTGGAGGAAACTTAAATGTATATTACTAAGTGAAAAGAGCCAAACTGAGAAGGCTACATACAGTATCATTCCAACTATATGACATTCTGGAAAAGGCAAAAGTATGGAGACAATAAAAAAATCTCTGATTGCCAGGGGTACGGAGGAAAGAGGGATGAACAAGTAGAGCACAGAGGGTTTTTAGCACTGAAAATACTCTGTATGATACTATAATGATGGATATCTGTCATTATACATTTGTCCAAATCCATAGAATAAAACAAAAATGAAATGGAGCGTAAATCATGGACTTTGGGTGATTATGATGTGCCAAAGTAGATTCATCAATTGTAACAAATTTAATGCTCTGGTGGGGGATGTTGAGAACGGGGGAGGTATGCATGTTGTGGGGGCAGTTGGTATACAGGATTTCTCTGAACCTCCCCCTCAATTCTGCTGAGAATCTTAAATTTCTCTAAAATATAGTGTCTTGATAAAAAGAAAAAAAATTAAAAACTAATGGAGCCTGATGCATGATGAAACATTTTTGAGCAAATTGCAATTAAAGAATGAAAGAATCCATGCAGAAATCAATGGGAGAGAATTCTAGGCAGAGAGACCTGCAATTGAAATGACCTAATCATAAATGGCTGTTAACAAATACGTAAAAAGTAATTAATAAAATTGATAATCCTAATGAATAGATTTATATTAGTGAAGGTTGGCATTTTTTTTAGATTAAGTATGTCAAAATGTATAAACAATAGTTATTTATATTGGTATAATCGTAAACATGCAAGGGGTGATATAATAATGATAACAAACAATATTAAGTTTGTGTGATAATACATGGGACTGAGATAAATAGCAAGTCACATGCATTTTTCTGTTGCTAGTGAGGAATTATTACAGCTTGGGAATAGGGTATAGACAAATTTCTTTGAAGAAATTAGCTATTTAAAATAATATTTTAATGTTACACATTCTCCTTCCACTCTCTGGCCTCCTTATCTGCTACAATTCTGCTGGTCAGGGAGGTGGGATAGATATTTAAAAAGACGTGTATTTTGTGTTTTACATTTTTCTATCTAAATCAAATCAGCTCATCCTCCATTCAAGATGTTTTTCTCTCCACAAAGAAAAATGTAATAAATCCCACAAATGGACTAGGCACACACACACACACGCACACACACAAAAGACTGCTGGAAGAAGCCACGGATCCAGAAGTTCTCATAGTAGAAAGAAAACTACATCCTTCAGACAACACCTTGCTAACACAACCAGCCCAGCTTTACAAGTCAACAGCATCTTCCAGATCATATTGCACAGAGCAAATTTAACACTAACATAGGATCATAACTCATGTCATTAAGCATTAGGCTTATGACTGATCCAAATAAAGATAGAAAATGAGAATCTTAAGGAAAAGATATCTCAAGGCCATAGTGATGGGGGTTGAAGAGAAAATAATTTGCTACATATGGAGAAATAGGAACCCAGACTATAATATTACCAAAAAAAATACTTGCCACAACCTCTTTATGAGTAGAATTTAAAAGTTGATTTTCAAGTCTATTTATTTGAACTGAGCTACTTATATAAATTTAGATTTAAATAAACAAATACTATATATTTATCATTTACAATTCATAGTGTGTTCTGAATTCATTACAAATTAAATTTTGTATTTCTCTTCAAGACCCGTGTTAGGACAGCTCCAGACACTGTTTTATTTGTGGAAACTGTCCTTCCACCAACTGTTTTTAAGCAGAAATTATGCCTTTCTACTTTTTTGGAGCTGTGGGGTTCTATCTCTTCTAAACACTTTGTGGTCTACATTTGTCTCATGTGGTAATACGTTGTTCTTTTTGGTTAGAAAAGTATTTAGAGACTGAATCAAAGGTGAAAGAAAACAGTTGCACTGAACATAAAGTATGAATAACATGCCTTTCTAAAATGAGTACGACTCTCCATGGAAAAAAATTTATCTTGTGGTAACTGATTAAAGTGGTTTTCTGGTGGTAAGTATTATTTTTATTATTATTATTATTATTATTATTTACACATCAACATTTTGTACTTAAATATGATAACACCATATTTTTCTCAGAGAACTTGATAAAGCTTAGTTTAGATAGAGATAACAGTAAAGTTATAAATGTAGTAAAAACAAATAAATCCAAATAAAAACAAATACATACCTAACTCTCTATATTAACACTGTGTCACCTCAGACAGTGAGCACAGTAAATGCTCTATAGATCATTAATCCATTTTATAGTTTCTCTCCTAAACTATGAGATTGGTTCTCTTCATTGTCTCTATACTTTGGCTCAAACAGAGTCGAATTTGGAACAATTGGAAAAACTGTCTTTAGAGATACTTTGAAAAGAATCAGTAGTTTATCAGATGTATTGATCCTTTACCAGGAATTTGTTCTTCTTGTAGAAATAATAGGGGGGATAACATTAAACAATTTAGAGATTTAGTATGAAGATTCAAATATATCTGTTTCTGAATCTATTTTTGATTTTGTATTATTTAAAAATGTTAATTACATTTTTTTAAATGTTAAGTTTTATGAAAAATATTCAATATTTTTTTAGTAGCAAACCACATTTAAAAAGCCCCTGAAGAGCACACTGTATTTTCAAGATGACCTGGGTCACAGTCAGATAAGCTAATCCAACTTTCAAAATAAATTCCAATTATATTAAAGAGAAAAGAGAGACTTCAAGCTACTTTGGATATACTTGTTAGAAAATTGCAAACACTTTATTGAAAATAAAGGAAAATGTTACTTTTGCCATAATATGAATTAAAATGCATATACATAAAATTTATTTTGCATATCTGATTTTAGCTAAACCATTTTTAATTTCATTAGCATTACCTTTTATTTCTGCAAAATCATTTGTTCTTCTGGTAACAGTAAATTAAGGGAATTTTTTATCAGTAAAAAATAACAATTGCTTTGCTCCGTATCTTGCCAACCCTTATCTGTTGACTTTTTGAGAATAGCCATGCTAACAGGTATGAGGCGTTATTTCATTATGGTTTGATTTGCATTTTCCCTAGTGATTAATGATGTTGAGCATCTTTTCATACACCTGTTGGCCATTATGTTGTAGCTTCTGATCTTACTTACTCTAAATTTAAATAGTGTTAGGAAGAAAAAAATATGTATAAAAGAGAAAGAATGACTGTTTGGGAAGATGGGCCATTAGAAAGCAGAGGAGATTTCATGGAAGACATAGTAGTGGAAATTGAGGAGAATCCATACTTTGTATTAGAGTGCCAGAATGCAGATTATAGTTTTTAAGAGATATCTTTTAAAAAGTATTCAAATCCGGACAAGAAGGTTGGAAGAATCCTGGGAATAACGTATGTTAGAAGGTAAGTACTGAGAAGTAAGTAAAGAGTCAGGAAGAGGAAGCAGCATTTTGTTAAATTAAAGGCAGCAGCCTCTAACTCTCCATGCTTCCTGCCATGCTGACACTCACAGTATTGAAGTGCTGCAAAACAAAACTTCCCTGTATAGTTTCTAAAGACATTCACAGTCATCTTTCTTGATTCCGTTTTCCTGAACTGGGTTTGTACAACTATTTCACGGTGTAGGTTCTCCTGAAGTATCTTGCTAATATGCCCCCTATGTACATGCCCATGTTTCACATTAATTTTCCAGTTGACAGGTACTTATACTTACTCCGACCAGTCATTTGGGAATAAGAATGAGTCAACACACGGGTATATTATTCCACCAAGTCAAATGCCCTTGTGAATAAGGAGTAGGTAAGTTTAAATCTACTGTTTCGAAGGATTATGGTCTCTTATCCAAATCTTAGCAGTATAAGGAAAAGTCCTTGGAATGTTGTTTTCATTTTGAAAATCATTTAGGTACCTCTGTTTATTCTTATTTATATACTTTACATAAAATCATTTTGTAATTTCTACCATTGAAATTATTTTAAAAATAATAATAAATTGGTTCAATTGCCCTCTGGAGATTATCAGTGCTTCTCCTCTATGTTGGAAGCTTTGAAAAACATAGCATCAATAACAATAAATTTTTTTTTAAGATACTATTTTTTCAAGACTCTGTTCAAAAGTTTGTTAGCATTTGTTAACAGAATTGCCTTTTTCATAATCATTTAATCAAATATGAATTAACCAACAGAATTAAAGAAGATTTTTAAATGACATTCAATTATTTTATATTTTAATCATTCAGTAGAAAAAATACTATAATCACTTGGCTCTAATATAAACTGGCTCTTTTGAGGTAAAATAAAAGAGATTATTGAGATAAGATCACCTTATATCTAATGTTTTTCACTTTCTACTTAAGCCCTTATTTTTTTCTCTGTGATCAAACAAACCTCATAATTGTCAATTTCAAGGAATTCAATTGATTAAAAATATATCAAAATCTGTCATCAAAATACAATGAACAATGACAATGAATAAATCCTGCTGAGAGTGTCTTTATATACTTTCTTACCATCAGCATCACTATCAGTAACTCTTGTTCTCCCTAAGTGTTCTCAAAACTCAGGGGGAAAAAAAAAAATCCGTAGCTATGATTCCTTTTGCTTTAATGATATAATATAATTTAGTTTAGGACGCCGAGGAAAAATAATGATATGTCTGGTATAAACACACAGTGAATTCAATCAAATAAGCTAGTTCAACACACATGATTCATTCCTTTCATGAGCCTTGTGTTTTCTGTCTCTTTGACCATCTTTTCTTCCAACGGACTTGAATAACTAGATATTGGCAAAAACCATATTCCCTTTGCTAGTATAAATGAAATGGAGTGTGACTGATTATACCGACACAGAATGACATTAATCATCATTAAAAAAAAAAAAAAAGTCACCAAGTATTCCCGGTTTTCTTACCTCACTTGATGCTGGAAGCGAGAGAGGTGGCGCTGGAGGAGACAGAAAATTGGACAGGCTGGTGAGGGCAAAGGCATTCCAACTGCACAGTCACCATGACCACCATCCGTGGCCTGGGCCTCTAGCCCCGGCTGCTGAGAATGCTGCCGCCCGAGCAAGTAGTCAGCCCGGGGCCAAGGAGGAGGCATCATCCTCGGAGAAGCCTACCAGAACCTTCCTGCACCCAGGAAGTCCGGAGGCCCACGCTCTCCCAGCGGGTATCCTCTTTTAGGGCATAGGCATCACGGCACACAGAGTCGCAAAAGGTCAAGGGGGATACATCCCCTACCCGCCCGCCCAGAACTCCACCTGGAAGCCCCCAGGTGCCGCTAGTACCACCAGCGAGACCCAGAGCAGCTGCCTGACAGGCAAAACCTGGCACAGAGGGGAGTGAGCGCATAGAACCAGGCCATGCCCAGCCGGGGCTACAAGGACCTGATCTGTCTCCTCTCCGTCGTCCCCGTAGCCCTGCCACTGAGGAGATGACTCCACTGCCCGAGACTGGGAAGCCAGTACCTCTGCCACCTGAGGATTGGACCCCAGAAGGAGCAGGCCTCTGAGAGCTGGCCTCCCCATAGAGGAGGCAGTCAGATCCAAGTTCAGGGCATCTTCCCAAATGTATACCCCATGGGGCCTTGCCAGATTCCTGAAACTGAAAAAGAGGAAAAAAAAAAAAGAAGTCTTTTAGTCTCGTGTCTTTTAGTAAATAGACATCCGTCTTATTTATGAAGAAAAAAGTGCGAACCATGAGAGACTATGGACTCTGAAAAACAAACTGAGTGTTCTAGAGGGGAGGCGGGTGGGGGGATGGGTTAGCCTGGTGATGGGTACTAAAGAGGGCACGTTCTGCATGGAGCACTGGGTGTTATATGCAAACAATGAATCATGGAACACTACATCAAAAACTAATGATGTACTGTATGGTGACTCACATAACATAATAAAATTAAAAAAAATGCAATGCCTTTCTTTTTTTAGAAATTTTGATAGTCCCAGCATCTTTAAAACGTGCTTATAACCATATAGGGTTTACAAGCTAAATTTCTAAAGAAATGATAGTTTTAAGATTAGAAATGAAAATTGAATAATTCAGCTAAACAAGATTATAGCCTCTTCAATGCTTCATATTAAGCCTCAGGAGATATTTTGTGGGTATCTTCTGTGAAATTTTTAGTTATTCATAAATGTCTGCCTTGCCCTCAACTATCTCTAAACTTTATCATACATTTGTTGCTAGAATTAGAGTTTATAATTTGACTCTGAAGTTAAAATGCTCATATTACACAGAAGGAAAGAAACCTCAAAGTTATTTCAAAGAAATAGCAGTAGTTCTCAAAACTGAGTCAAGTTCTTCCACCACTTCCAATTTGTCTCTCTTCCTTTTTTCTTAGTTTCATAATTTCTGGACAGAAATACTCAGTGAATTTTCTGTGTGTGCAGAGGAACTGAATAAATATATATATCAACAGGGTATACAGTCATTAGCCTAGGATGCTTTTGCCACATTTGATGTAGAAAACACACCCATCTAATACTAATTTAAGAAACATATTCAGCTAGAGTCGGTAATTTTATTAATAACCCTCTACCTAAAAGAGGAGGTAGACAGATGAATGAAACAACATTTCGGCAAATGAAGAAGTTTAGAAACATTTAAATGACTTACAGAGACAAAACTGAGAGGAGTTTTAAATGACAATTATTAGAATTGGTGGAAGACTGATGGCTACAATGCATAGGAGATACCCTTAAACTTTTTAGAGTTTGAGTATCTATAAAATTTCCTCACAATAACATTGAAGTGATTTATTTGTATCACAAAAAAAAGAAGAGAAATTTTTATAAGATATAGTACAAATGTAAATCTGACAGCAAGTTCCCTTCATAAATCTGCCTTTATTTTCTAGTCCTGGGACTTAAGGATTTTTCATTGTCTTCAATTTTATCATAAAAAGATTTTAATTACTACACTACATAAAACATCTGAGTAAATAAAATTCCCTGAGTAGAGAAATGTTTTCTGGGTTGACTATTAATTAGAAATACACAGCCTTAGTCTCTAGTCCATATTTATTAGTAAACTCTGAAATAAAGCAATATTTGTATGGCTAATAAAGCCAAAGTACTGAGAAAAGAAAGGAACCTAGGATTACTGGTTTATATTTAGAAAACAGGTCTAACTTTTTTTCTGCTTCCATGTTCAGCATTACAGGAGAAAAATTATGTGGATACTATCTTTCTTCAAATGATTTTTCCTGATATTTACCAGTGACTTCTCAGAGAGGTCATGGAAACTCTGCACTTTCTCCCCATGTCTTCCCTATATATCTTTTCCATCTAAGTTGTATCCTTTTATAATAAACTAGTAATCAGTAAGTAAAATACTTCTCTGAGTTCTGCAACTTTCATCAATAAATGTGGAACCAGTTAGTGGAATGATGAAGACTGTATCTGGCAGTAGATAAGTTAAGAGCCAATTTTTTATTTTTTGTGTGTTTTTGCTTCATAGATGGGCTTCAAAGGGTCAAACAATAAATCACTTCTCCCCAAGTCTCCCAGATTTAATTTACCCATATTTCTATATAAGTCTGTCTTTTTTATTTCTACACTAGATATAAATTTCTTCTACTCCAAGATAGCACTCAAGTCCCTTCTCTCTTGATTTTTTTTTCTTTTTATCTTTTCCATTTTTGTTTCATTTTTTAAAAAAACCTTCTTGTGACCCCAAAACTCCCTTCAAATTCTATTTGCCCTTTATGTCAAAACTCCTCAAAAAGATCATTGCTTCTCTCTATAATTCCCCTTTATTGTTTCCTTAAACTCATTCCACTCAAGATCTCACTCCAAGCACCTAAGAGCAGTGGTCTCCTTTTTATTCCTGGAACGTGATATACTGACTACAACTAAGGAATGTTGAAAATGGTTCCCTCTTATTATAACCAAGTTCTTTTGAATATGTTTATCACTTATACCTCATTTCTTTCATGTGCTTATTATAATTCTCATTGAAGGCTCCTCTGACCATCCTTTTCATGTATTAATATATTCTTTCTTTAAAAATGTCATCCAATTTCCTTAATTTTTATATCATATGTATATGCTTGTTAGACAGTAAGTTCTATTAAAATAATCTATTTTGTTTGTTGATATTTTCTCAACACAATTCAGGCACATGAGAAATTCTCAGCAAATATTTGTTGAAACAACTTCAAAATGATATGTTTCTAATAACAACATTTCATTAATATTGTTAACATGAGAAATTTTCAATATTATAGAGGTTATTTGAAAAATCTATTTTGATGGTTTTATAATATGCTCTTTTTTATATATCCTACTAGATATTTCATTTCTCAGCAATCATTTATTAATTTTCCAATTGTATTCTATTATAAAATGATAGACATAATTTGTTTAGTTTATGGCTAAAAAATCTATAGATAGTTTCCTAAAAATGGAATTACACTATTCAAATGTGTAGACATCTTTAAGGAATTCAATTCTATCACTTTCCAGAAGAGCTGGAAACTGATGCATCCTGTAAACAGGTAACTGCTACTCTGCTCAAGTGCACTGTTATTCTCTGGAAATGTGAGTCCCTTTTTTTTTTTTCTTTTTTTGCCAAATATTCTGACTTTTGGACAGAAACAGGAATGCATGTGTTATGTTGATTTTTATATTGTTAATTAATTTATGCTTTAAAAGAACCGGGTGCCAAATAGATTACGGGTAGAATATCAGTCTGGTTCCATTCACTGGCAACTAACTTGCAAACTGTTAGAGAACAAATAAGGATGTTTGTTCTCTTTGTCATTACTAAAACTATGGTAAAGACATTACAACCATCTGCCAAATGATAAGATCATTATCTAATAATTTTAAACAGAATGATAGGAATTACAATGTTATCTCAATAAGATAGGATGTTTCTGTTAAGGATCTCACTATGTAATGGTAGAAATTTAATTATGGTGCAGTGCTATAAATACAAAGTCACAAGGCTTGACTCTGGATTCCTTCAAACATTTTTTAGTCTTAGTAATCTTTTAGTCTTCATGAATTGGGGGTTTAAAGTAAAGGAATATTTAGTATTTCTAAAAGAAAAATTCAAACTAAATAATACTATTGTAACTTAGAGATTTTCTTTTTCTTTTCTTCCTTTATTGAGCATGATAGTATAATATGTTTCTAAAAATATTCAAAAACACCACACAACTTTCATTTTTTCTATTCTTAATGCATGGTATTCTATCTTTCTGTCCCCCTCCTTCCCTATGTGTATGTAATTAAGTCCATTCTATAAAACTGATAGAAATATCACTGAAAAGAATACTACTGGCATTTGTAGTCACAAAACTAAATATTAATAGATTTATTTATATAATAAGTATATTTGTTTATAATCATTTATTATTAAATATATTTGTAATTATTTGGAAAATGTAATTTTTAAAATGTAAAAAATGTCCTGTATTTCAGACTTTCTCTTTTTGATCCTCAATTGTTGCTTTGATGTAGCCAGAGCTTAAACTTCACTCAAAAGAGAATTGTTTAGACTGAGATCATAATGGAGTAATCATTATCTGTATATTACTCTATAATTCCAACAGTTCTTTTAGATCACAGAAATAAAATACTTTGAATTTTTTTCTATTGACTCAATAGCTTGATTTTAAGCCTATTGCTCACTGCAAGTCCTGTCTCTATTCCCAGGCTTATAATGAGAAATGATTGTATTGACTGGAATTTTGCTCTGTAGAGTAGTTATAAATCCTACATTTTATTGTAATTTTTATCAAATTTCCTAAAATATAGCTACATAAATACAAGGCATGATTAGCGACACTTAAAATTCTACATCCAAATGCTTCTAGACATATGGAGCATAGGGTAATGGTACCATAGAAGAACCTTAAAGCATTTTTAAATACATGAGGTATTAGCATATATTGATTTGGCAGAGGTTTGTATATTTGAGACATACTACAGATTCTTTAATTTTGTAAGCAGAATGTATTCTTCATTAAGCATCAACATGAACTGGACAGTAGTAAAATATACTAGTTA